GGGACCACGTGGGCACCAGGAACCGGAAGAATGAAGCTGATTGGATGGGCGGGACTAAGGACCTGAAGAACGATTCTGATTGGCTGGGAGGGCGGGACTAAGGGGGCGGGGCCACCTGTCAAATTATGTTTGATGAAAGGTGGTACCTTACTTGTGTGTGTTGTGTGTAAACAATGACAACTGTGCTTTAGTTGTGTTTAGTGTTTTGCAACACAAGTTCATCACAGTATGAATTGTGCAAAAGGAGTGCATGAGATTTGCAAACAGTGTCTAACTGCCTGAATTTGTTTAAGGTTTTGTAGAAAGAGTGATTTATTCGACAAATTGGTTTAAGCTATTGAGAATTTGGTTCAGAGAATGGGGTCTATTGTCTTAGCAATTGTGAAAAACTGTAAATGCTAGTGTTCTCATCTTTTAATGTGCCTTCTGTTTCTGAAGCTGAAGCTGATCTTCCCTGTCGGGGCTGGAAGATGTGACTTTGGTCTTCACACAGGACTGTAGGCTCTCATTTGTGAGGCGGGAGCGATATTTGGTCTTTATGAAGTTCATGCTCGAGAAACTTGCTCACATAAGTATGTTGAGCCAAAGATGGACCGGACTCCAAATGCATACTTTTTCATGTTCATCTACGGAATGGCACTCCATGTTTCAAAAACAAGTTTGTCGAGTTTGAGGAGGTTTTCAATATCATTCCATTTGTGCTGTTTAGCCAGATTGGCCTTCTCACGGGCGACTTCTTCAAGATCTGTTGTCAGGCTTTTGAACTTGGATACCCATAAGTCTTTATCTGCTATGTTGGCCAGTTCAATTTCAACATCGGGCTGACTTATCTCTGTGAATGTGGATATGCTCAGCAGGGATGGGTCGATGTCCAGCGGTGTGACAGGGAAGGACAGAGTGTTTTGTTCCTTTTTGAACTCGCTGAATCTTTCTCCAAATGCAGCTCGCATTGCCATAATCTATTCTAAAATTCTGTTGCCTGTGTATGACTGGTGCCTCGTAAGAAGCTTTCATTTGGAAGAAACATCCTGAATGTACTGTAAGTGATTTCTAAGTATTCAGATATTATTGTGTACATGTTATACAAACACGTATTTAATGTAACATTCACCCAACAAGTTTTCATTTGGAAAAATTTTGAAACTTTGAAGAAAACTGTAAGTAGTTGCTAAGTAGCGGGGGTGTATTCTAATATTATGTTGTACGTATATGATGCCTGCCCCTTCAGTTGGGAGCAACTTTTACATGGTAGTTAATATTTAACTACAGGGACCTATTCTATAATCAGAGGATAATCAGAGATGAACAAAACTTGACAACAACACCTGAAACATGACGTCATGTCTGTTATGAATTTATGTTACAATGTACTATAGAGACCCTTACTTAGAAACTACTTGCAGTACATTCAGAATGTTTCTTCCTAATGAAAGCTTGTTGTGGGGCACCTGTCATATGCAGACAGTGTAATTTCAGAATAGACACACTGTACTTAGAAAATACTTACAGTATACTTACATTTCAAGTTACCCCATTAATCCCCAAATGTTACATTTTGGTTCCCTGGACTTATATATGTGTATTGTACAAGGGTGTGGTTATAACACAGAATGACACCCTAAATGTGGGGTGTGTACCCTGTAATTTGTGTCCTGTAAATTAAAGTCTTAATGATTAAACAAACAAATACGAAAATTTGTATTTTTAAAGATAATGAAAAAACCCAATCTGTTAGAGCTGCTGCAGCCAACAGGTCCACAGCTGTTTAAACTGGACACTGTAACAAGTTACTGACATGGAACATGTCCTGTTTTACTTTTATGTGTTTCCTATTAGTATTACATTGTAAATTAGATTAGAAATATACTGAGCACTTACTTGAGTCACTTGGTTTTTCCTCTGGTGCACCTTAAGCCGGTGCTATTAGAAGAGCTGGTTGGAAATAATCAATCAGATATTATATTTGAAGGACCAGTGAAATATTTAGTTTGAAATACATGTACTGCATTTCAGGCAGACAGGTAGATGAAAATACTGATCCCACTCATGTCTGTCTTTCATTTCTATACAAGCATCTGAACAGATTAAACAAACTAGTGTAATTTATTATCATAAAACTATGGGAGGAAAATCAATCTGTTGGAGCTGCTGCAGCCAACAGGTCAACAGCTACAGTATGTAAACTCCACAGTGTAGCAAGATACAAATGTACTGAACACTTACGTGGTGCAGTGCTTTTTATTGCTCTACGGGGACGCGCTGTTGCTATTAGAAGACCTGGTACACTTACTTGGTTCAGTTGGTTTAGCCTCTGGTGATATTAGAAGATCAGCTTCTGCACCTTCAGCTGGTGCTATTAGAAGATTACCTTCAGCTAGTGCTATTAGAAGAGCGGGTTGTAAATAATCAGTCAGATATTATATTTTAAGGACCAGTGAAATATTTAGTTTGAAATACATGTACTGCATTTCAGGCAGACAGGTAGATGAAAATACTGATCCCACTCATGTCTGTCTTTCATTTCTATACAAGCATCTGAACAGATTAAACAAACTAGTGTAATTTATTATCATAAAACTATGGGAGGAAAATCAATCTGTTGGAGCTGCTGCAGCCAACAGGTCAACAGCTACAGTATGTAAACTCCACAGTGTAGCAAGTTACAAATGTACTGAACACTTACGTGGTGCAGTGCTTTTTATTGCTCTACGGGGACGCGCTGTTGCTATTAGAAGACCTGGTTGTAAATAATCAATCAGATATTATATTTTAAGGACCAGTGAAATATTTAGTTTGAAATACATGTACTGCATTTCAGGCAGACAAGTAGATGAAAATACTGATCCCACTCATGTCTGTCTTTCATTTCTATACAAGCATCTGAACAGATTAAACAAACTAGTGTAATTTATTATCATAAAACTATGGGAGGAAAATCAATCTGTTGGAGCTGCTGCAGCCAACAGGTCAACAGCTACAGTATGTAAACTCCACAGTGTAGCAAGTTACAAATGTACTGAGCACTTACCTGACTCACTGTTTTCCTCTGGTGCACTATCATCCCCTTCGTCTAGAAGAGCTGGTTGTAAATAATCAGTCAGATATTATATTTGAAGGACCAGTGAAATATTTAGTTTGAAATACATGTACTGCATTTCAGGCAGACAGGAAGATGAAAATACTGATCCCACTCATGTCTGTCTTTAATCTTCATGTAAGTATTTGAACCAATTCAACACACAACTAGAGTCATTTATTACTGTATAAATAAGGAAGGAAAAAACCCAATCTGTTAGAACTGGTGCAGCGACCAGGTCCACAGCTGTTTAAACTGGACACTGTAACAAGTTACTGACATGGAACAGGTCCTGTTTTACTTTTATGTGTTTCCTATTAGTATTGCATTGTAAATAAATTAGATTAGAAATATACTGAGCACTTACTTGTTTCGCTCTTTTTCCCTGACAAAACTTCTTGCAGATGTTCTAGAACACCTGGTTGGAAGAGGTAAGCAGAATCTTTACTTAAGGTAATTGTGAAATTTTTAGGTTGAAATGCGTGTACTGGATTTCAGGCAGACAGGTGGATGAAAATTATTTATACCTTTCTCATGTCTCTTTCATTATTATGTAAGTGTTTGAACAGATTAAACAGCAACACTTAATTTTACAGGTCATGATTTACAGCGTACGTAACCCTCATGTAGAGCTTCATTCCATGTAATAGCATCATACCTGTACAGCTCTTACTGATACATATATGTAAGCCCAGGGAACCATCATGCATCGTTTGAGGAATAATGGAGTAACGTGAAATGTAATTAAACTGTAAGTATTTTATGAGTACGGAGTGTCTATTCTAAAATTCTGTTGCCTGTGTATGACTGGTGCCTCGTAAGAAGCTTTCATTTGGAAGAAACATCCTGAATGTACTGTAAGTGATTTCTAAGTATTCAGATATTATTGTGTACATGTTATACAAACACGTATTTAATGTAACATTCACCCAACAAGTTTTCATTTGGAAAAATTTTGAAACTTTGAAGAAAACTGTAAGTAGTTGCTAAGTAGCGGGGGTGTATTCTAATATTATGTTGTACGTATATGATGCCTGCCCCTTCAGTTGGGAGCAACTTTTACATGGTAGTTAATATTTAACTACAGGGACCTATTCTATAATCAGAGGATAATCAGAGATGAACAAAACTTGACAACAACACCTGAAACATGACGTCATGTCTGTTATGAATTTATGTTACAATGTACTATAGAGACCCTTACTTAGAAACTACTTGCAGTACATTCAGAATGTTTCTTCCTAATGAAAGCTTGTTGTGGGGCACCTGTCATATGCAGACAGTGTAATTTCAGAATAGACACACTGTACTTAGAAAATACTTACAGTATACTTACATTTCAAGTTACCCCATTAATCCCCAAATGTTACATTTTGGTTCCCTGGACTTATATATGTGTATTGTACAAGGGTGTGGTTATAACACAGAATGACACCCTAAATGTGGGGTGTGTACCCTGTAATTTGTGTCCTGTAAATTAAAGTCTTAATGATTAAACAAACAAATACGAAAATTTGTATTTTTAAAGATAATGAAAAAACCCAATCTGTTAGAACTGCTGCAGCCAACAGGTCCACAGCTGTTTAAACTGGACACTGTAACAAGTTACTGACATGGAACATGTCCTGTTTCACTTCTGTGTATCTATTAGAATTACACTGTAAGGTATATTACATTACAAATATACTGAACACTTACTTGGTTTATGGTTTTTCTCTGGTGCACCTTCAACCTCTGCTCCTGGAAGAAAAGGTGAAATACATGTACTGGATTTCAGGCAGACAGGTAGATGAAAATACCACTCTCATGTCTATTTCATTTTTATGTAAGTATTTGAATAGATGAAACAAACAAGGCATAACATGTTGATTCATGAGCTTTATAGGTGTTGGAAGACGGATTCTTTTAGACTGTGTCTGCCTGTTTCCAGTCTCGGTGCTAAGTCAGAGTAACCAGCTGCTGGATGTGGCTTTATAATAGGGACACAGACATGAGAGTGGTATTGGTCTTCTCATCTAACACCCAGAGAGAGAGACATTTAAAAAAAAGTGAAATAGTAATAACACATATTCAGTCCTTCAGTAAACAGCCAGTAAATACTCACCATCAGCTCTGTTCAGAGCCAACATGGTGCACACACAGAAAAACAGAGTCAGGATCTTCATGGTGGAGACGAGGTCGAACGTAAAGATGCTGAGAACCTTTGATAAACAGACAGACGTGTTACTCATGTCGACAGTCAGTAGGTTAAAGAAAGGAGAGAAGGTGATGGGTGAGTTTGAATCAGACCTGCTGTAAAATGATCTTCTCCTGTTTGTCCTCAGTGTCAGACTGTAGCATCAATCTTGATGTGTAGAGGTGCTGACAGAAAAGAAGCACCTCTTATATACAGGTATAAACAGCAGCCAAGGCTACTCAGAGTCAACACACAGAGAGAGAAATGCAAATATATAAAACTGTTCCAAATATTAAAAACAGGAGCGTCGAGTCACGTTAGTTTTAATGTTTGTGTTTTGGGAGAAGTTGCTAATCTTTTCATATTAGTGGTATTTATCTAGCTAAGGTGTTGGTCCAACGCCCTTCATCATTGCTCAAAGTTCACCTGACACCTAAAGTCAAAACAAAGTAGAATGTTCTGGGAAAGAAAACATTTGCTCACTGCTTTTTATTAGAATTAAAAAATTATCAGTACATTTCTGTCATGCATGAGATGGATCATTACACCACCCATGACAGAAGGACTGCAGTTTTCCGGTAACATCAGATTATCATGTTGGTCGTGGTGTTTGCTGAGCGTAGTGTAATGATTATAATACAGTTACTCCATGGTTTGAACCCCTCCAGTGTGCAGGAGTCAGATCATACAAAACACAATGGATTATTTTTACAGTCACAAGGGATGTGCATTCAGAGCCCAGAAGCTAAAGGCTGCTAGTTCAAGGAAATCAGAAACCTGAAGCAGAACACATTGGTCTAATCTGTATTGTCCCTTAATTGCACCCCTGAGACATGCTGCTGAGACTCTGTGTGACAGTCAAGTGGGTGGTGGCATCTTCTGGGTTATACATGAGAAAGTGAGGACAAGGTGTTAAGAAACAAGAATGTTGTTGATTGAAGTTGAGAGTTGAGATGTATCCTTAAGAGCATCCTCTAGTTCTGTCTCCCCATGTGTGTAGAGAGCAGCAGCAGATCACCACCACAGAGTCTAAGGAGCACAGCTGAAACCATATCTTGTTCTTGTTTTTCACGTCAGTGGTATTGCTTGATGGCAGTGGTCGCTTTCAGCCGGATAATGCTCCACGCCCCAGTGCAA